TTTTTTTTTAAGGCTTATCTGCTCATTAAAGTGTTTCATGAGAGGCCCAGACTTGACTAGATCACAGGCTGACCAGAAACTGCATGTTTTTGCAGAATATGAGAAACGGACAGAGTGAGACAAAGTTCAGACAGGCCTCAGAAAGGGGAAGTTATTGCAAGCTGCACAGGAAGTTTTAGTGCACAGGCATATTAATAAATCAGACACAGAAAAGAGGAACTGAGTAGGAGTTTGTTTTGTAATGAATCTGTGTGTGTCACGTGTGCAACATCTCAAGTACCGAAATAACACCATATAAGATGTTGAGCTTCAAATTGGCGTTTGGGCTGTGCAAGGGTCTCTCTCTTCCGGAAGATGATTGAAAAAAAAAGAAATATAAAATGTTTTGACCACTATGAGTCGGGTTTTCTCTGTTCTATCATGGGGACAAAAGAATTGGGGTTTAATAATACCTTTTGAAAATTCATTGGATGACCAAATTATGCCCACGGTATCATTTTATTAACCTTATCACAGTGTATGGTAAATGGACCGGTATTTATATGTCACCTTTCTACTCTAAATGACAACTTAAAGTGCTTTCAGCTATGATCCCCTTTTCAGCCATTCATACAAACACATTGATACGCCATTTTATTCCTGTAAATACCCTGTCTAATATTCACACACTCATTTGGTGTGCAATATATAACCCTGATAGACAGCCCACTCTACGCCTTGAGCCACCCAGGCTTCACAGAATCTTATGCAACAGTTTAGATTATGATGGGATTTCAGACTGGACTGTCAAAGCCTGAAAGGACCCAGACAAGAACCACAAACAAAAACATAAAATCAGATAAGAAGTAAAATATACATGTCTAAAAATATTACCACAAAGGTTATTTGTACTGAGAGAGCCTTCGTGGTCCTTTTAATGTCATAAGAAGTGCTTAGACTGAAAGATAAAGTGTAATGTGCTGTGAAGAACACCATGCAGGTGGAGCTGATCAGTTCTCAAATATGAAATGGGAACGTGGGAGCATGCACGGAGGAAGCAGTGAGAGTTGTCTGGTGGACACTCGTAAAAAAAAAACACTGTGGAATTCCCATGAGATTTATTTTTCTTTGTTTGCTTGGCCTCCGCTGAACAAAGCAACACTTATGAAGTAACACGATACTTCATCAGCAAGATGGAAATTCAATAAAATCCACACCAATTACTTTCCTCCTAACTTCTAGAGTTGTGTCTTTACATTGCACCATAAGACCTAGGTTTGTGTTTACTTATCATCAAACCAACAACACAAGGTAAAATGTTATCAGTCACACTAGGCCCTAGTGTGACATAAGATAAGATAACATTTGACTAGGGGAAAAAATGATTATAGATTGCACTTGCTGTTGTGTTGCCTTGGAAATTGTTGCTGTGATGACAGAGACCAGATCTGCAACCAATAGGACCCCACGGCAGCTTTATGGAGTCGGCCTGCTATAAGTTTAAGGTTAAATGGGGTCAAACTGGCAATTATGTGCAATCTGGTTGTGACATTAATTAACTGTGACGAACAGAAGAAAATTGCAAATCTATTGCCATCTGTTGCAAATATGTTGCTTTCTACATACATGCATATTCCTCTTAAAATGAAATTCACATTATCTACTTACATTCAGACTCCAGCTAGAATCTCATAGTCTTGAAACTCTAGTTCAGAAATTCTTTAACATCTAGCAATGTACTTGTTGCAGGATGACAATTTACTTGCAAAATGACACACCATTCACCAACCAGAATACAACTAGCTGCCAACTAGTTTGCAACCGGTTGAGGCAAGTCCCCTATTTCAAAGAGATTCATTGCAGCTATTGGTGCAAACGGACTCAGATTGATTGCAATGTGTTGGCAACCTGCCTGCATTATAAATTACCCAGCAACAGAGATTACAGACCCTCCAAATAGGATTGTGATTGGTTGGAAATGGATTGCCTCCCACCAAGCAAACTGTGGAATTACCTTGCAACTAAAAGTCATCACTACTACTTTCAAATAGTTGCCAAAGCAGAAAGGTTCTATGCAGTCTACAACTGCTGATTTCTCCTGTTCATAAGGAGGTTGTTGGCCTATTTTAAGTGTGATCGAGCCATTAGGAAACAGTTTGTCCATCTAACATATGCTGGTAATATTCATATCGTAAGGCTTCAATTATATTTCACTGCAGACAGAGACACAGACACCGGGAGACTAGAGACCAGACAGATGAGCAGTCATTATGTTATACTTCTTTGAAGTCCACCACCTGGGTTGCATGTGTAGTTGTTTGATTGTAATGTAAATTACAGTGCTGTTTTGTTATTTACACATCTGGTTGATCACCTGCTTTTGAGGCTATTGTTGACTGTATTTGGGGCTTTAGCCTTTCATTCAACAGTATGCCATGTAATTCTTAATGAGCAAGATCTGCTTTTTATTTTTAAAACAGACTTGCTGAGAGCAGACCAACTTCCCAGCGAGCTTGTAAGCTTTGGTTAGTTTTGTCAAGAGCTGATAAAACCTGCTACTAACGATGGTAATTTAAGCTTTCAAAGTAACAGGAAACAGCTTCTGTTCACCTCTGTGAACTCACTGCTTCAGATTTTACTATAACATTTTATTGGTAATTATTTCATGCAACCTTTAGACATGCAACCTTTCTCTTACTTTTCTGCGTGGGACAAAAATCTGCAATGTTGCGTGGAGATCAGGGGCAGTATGTCTGGATTGGCAGACTGTTTTGATGGTTACCATCTTTAAGAAGGGGGAATGGAAAGTGTGTTCCAACTATAGGGGGATCACACTCCTCAGCCTCCCTAGGAAAGTCTATGCCAGGGTGCCGGAAAGGAGAGTCTGTCCATTAGTCAAACCTTAGATACCTCATCCTGGTTGTATCTGCATGATGTCATTCCAGTGTCAGATGCACAGATCAAGTGGAAATGAAAAGGAAATTCTAGTGGGTGGAACTTTAATGAGGATGAACAGATGGGTACAAAACCAAAACATTAAGTAGTTTGAAAGGGCTTTAGAAGAGGAATCAATGTGTTCGTCTGATTGCCATCCACACACAAAGAAGCCCAGTTGTTCAT